TGAACATTATATTACGCAACCAGTTCATCCCCAAAAATTTCATAAAACAAGTTCCTCATTGAACGTTTTCACGAACCAATATGCATACGTTTTATAAAACAAGTTTCTCAATGAACGTTTTCATGAACAGATTTAACATGAATCTGTTTCACAACTGATTATATTTTTACGGTTCATGAATCTTTGTTTGGATCTGTTACTGATTTCGTGGATTAATGAATACAATAAATTTCGATTTTCATATTATTACCACTAGTAAACCGAGAAACCAAATAACAATATTCAATTTTTAAAATTCTAATTTAAATAAACATTTAAATATTACCATATATAGAATTTCCTTAATTATGTTACCTTAATTTAGATTTATTAATAACTTTCATATTTAATAAAAAAATAATGTAAATGACAAATAAACCCTTAATGATTAAATTTAATTAAGAAAAAAAAGAAATTTTTCTATTAATCGAAATTAGTTTACACGGTTTTCTAAGAATTAGACGATTATATATATATATATATATATATATATATATATATATATATATAATATCGTGGAGTTCACATGATACAAAGTTGTTTTCGTGAAACACGTGAAACAAGTTTTTTACATTTGAAACTTCCAACAAACTGTTATGAAGGTAAAAAAAATGTGAATCTTTACAACAAAGACATTGTGAAAGTTATATTCACAATATTTTGATGTAAAGTTTCAGATGTAAAAAACTTGTATTGTGTGTCTCACGAAAACAATCTTGTCTTTCATGATCCCAGTTCCCAAGTCCCCCCCCCTCTCTCTATATATATATATTGAGAAGGAGTTTCAGATACAAATTAATCTCAACCGTCCATCTATTTTAATAAATATTTGGTTTCATAAATATCTTGATTGTTTTTTGAAACTTTGATTATGATTAATTAACTTTAATCACATGCAGATATAATAAATAAACCCTATAATTTCTATAGATATTAATAATATTTAAACATATTTATTTATTATTTAATCAAGAAAATAATAGATATCTTTAAAATTTATCACGTAATATGTATGTTTGTATGGATGTGTGTATATAATATCTATAAATTTTAATAATTAAGTTTTATTTATTTTAAAAAATCCAAAAAAATGGGATCAAAACCGAATTTGGTTGGAAAACTATGAATAAGCAGGATCGTTTATGGGACTACACATGTGGAGTTGATTTACCCATATGGTTTGTCCATAAAATGGAAGGTTTGGTTTGTAAAGTTGTTGTCAATACTGATCAGTATATTTAAAAGCAGAAAAAACTTAATTGTTTGTTAGTTTTGTTTCATTAGACAGTTGTTTTCTGTCTGTCGCAAGATTTGTTGCCCTCCTCTCTTATATTCTCGTGTTTTTTTTTAATTCTATTGTATTGTTTTTAAAAAAAAAAAACTAAAAGTATATCAGTACAGTACGATAAATTGTAAAGTGGAAGTGAAATTTGAATTGTTTTTAAATTTATTTTTTATAAATTTTCTAGAAATGAAATAACTGCGAGACGAAGTATCAGAAATCTCATATATTTTGTTGTTTATTTGGTTGATCGACCTTATATTGGTGAACTAACAAAGGTTTTCAGAACTCTGTTTTTTATATTAACATGAATATCCAACCCGTTATGCGATCCGACTAATTTCAAGACGACCACCTGCTTTGCGGGTAACCCGGAGTCACCGCATTTGGACTTCCATGGCCACAAGAGAATTTTTTATTCCTCTTTTGATTTGAACCTAAGACCTCCAGACACTTTTGACCTCTATAACTCTGCTTTTTAAGATCTAAATAAAGACAAAATATGAATATTCTATAATTGGAATATTTTGTATGCATTAATAATTTATGCTTAATGTTTTATAATTTATATTCCTAAAAATGAACAGTATTTTGAAAACTATTTTATTTTATAATATAATATAGATTATATAGTTGATTATTGTGAGAGACGTTGCACAAGGTTTTATCTGTGTGTGCCCTCTCAGATGATTTGAATGATCTGGATTTCGAGGGATGCTCTCCTAAACATGTCTTGATTAAGAATCACTGAAGCTGGTGAGTTCGAGACTTCTTTGTTCTTTGGTTTAGACGACGATATGTTGTAGTGCCACGAGAAGTTGGAGATCTGGTAGTAACTAGAAATGAACATGGAATCCTAAAAGCAACTTAAGGTCGGGATTTGAACAGGAAACAATTACATTTTCATCGACAATGTCTGGTATGGTCATCTATCAAATACTGATATTTTTAAATGGCGGGTTAATAGAATGATTAAGGTTAATCAGTTAAAAACGAAAATTTTAAAGTTTTAGGTACTTAACTGTTACGAAGTTTGTGTGTATCGTTTATTGAATTGTACGTGTTTTATGTTTATAATAAGATAAGTAAAACAATATTTTGCATTTTTTAAATATAAGGTATGTTTAAAATCTTAATTATCTGAGTAAAGTTTATTGAGTAAAACCCGGTTATACTAGACTAGGCATGGCAACAGGGCGGGGATGAGATGGGTTTTGTAATCCCTTGCCCCGGTTTTTAATAACAACCCGGTCCCTGGCGGGTACGGGTATTAACATCTTGTCCCGGTCAAATCCCATGAAAAATATTCTTTAGTTTAAACTGAGACCCTCGGCCCCGGGACCCGTTTTAGCGGGGAATCTCCGTCCCTGTTCGGGTCGGGTGAGTCGGGTTCCCCACCGAGGCATCGCAAATCACCATCCTCATTCTAGACTAGGGAAAATTAAATTACTGAACCAATTATGTTGTAACTACTTATCTGATGAAGATTTTCACCAAAAAACGATTATACAGATTTTAGTATATCTGGTAGCTTATTCGATTGTCTTTCAAAAAAATCATGTTTATCTATAAGAAAGTATAATTTTTTATTCATACAAAAAAAATATATTTTATATCAAACACGTAATAAAATAAAAACGACAGTCAGTGTAATTTCATTATATCGGATACTCCGCCACACTTTTGGCATTGTTCGATGCTATATATATATATATATATATATATATATAGAAAAAAGAAAAATAAATAAAAATAATCCTTTTTATGTATAAATAAATGTAACACTATTTTGTAACAGTACATGTCAATCATATCAGATATTTCTTGTTTTCTTCACATCCAAACTCAATCTTGCAAACCCACCCTCCTTCAATGAACTAACGTCTTCGCTAGCAAACCAGTTCGGGTCCCGACTCTTATACCAATTGTATCATCTTAAGCCAACAGGGGTTGGCTTTATATTGTCCACTTTGTTCACACTAGAACTCGCAATATTAAGATTACGTCAAACATAGAAGATATCACGTTCCTTATAAAACAACTTCCAATTATTGTGGGATCTTACACTATTTTCCCTTTAGTCAGTATTTGTAATTAATAACATGATTTAATTAATTTCAGTTTTAAACAACTAATGTAATTCATCGTCTTTATTGAAATATATTTTTAAATATTTAATATAAATTGAAATATTTTTAGCCATAAATAATCAATTAATATATTTTTAAAACATTTGTTTCATCAAACTATTTTCCATTTATTATTTTGTTTAGAAAATAGAAAAAAAATGTAATTTTTGTTTGATGATTAAAAAGAAAAATAA